GGGGACCGCCGAGCCCCGAGGATGCCCGCCCGCGCACGCCCCGCACCCAGACCCGCCTCGATCGGGAGGACTTCGCTGGGTGGGCCTGCCCGCCTGCGCCTGGAGGACTGTATCGTTTTTTCACTCTGTCACTTTGTGAGGCCCGAGGACAGGTTCCCGGCAGCCCGAGTGGGTTCTTTCATCCCCTAATCTAAATCCACTCTTAAGTGATGAGTTTAGGGGATCAGATTGTCCTAGGAGAAGCAGCCTTGGGTTTCAACTCCCCCTCTGGCAGACTTGTGGAGAGACTTGCACATCCCTGGTCCTCCACCTCCACAGTCCTGCTCTGCCCCAGAGGCAGGGCCTGGGGGCAGTAAAGATTCCCAGATGACTTTCCATCCCCTCTTCCCTGTGCTAGGCAAAGCATGTCTTTTTAGGAAGTGATAAACTAAACCATACCTCTGATGAAGACTTCATTTAAAAGGAGGGTTGAACAACTATTTCTTAATTTTTGTTTTCTTAATTTTTCTTGAACCAGGGACTTGCTATGTAGTTCAGGCTACCTCAAACTCAGTATGTAGCCCAGGCTGGCGTGAACTCCCGGGGATCCCCCTGCCTCAGCCTGTGCCTGAATGTTGGGATTATAAGCCTACAGCACCATTCCCAGCTTTTCCATAATTCTGAGGTGGCTGGTGATGCTGGGAGTGGGGATTTTCTATTTGGGCCTCAGTGTGCAGCATGTAGACGAAGCCCTGGCTTTACTGGACTTCCATGGCAAAGGAATCCCTCTTTTTCACTCCATCCATATGTCTAGGATCTATGTCTTTTCCTAGGTTGGGTCATTAAGTCACGAGTGACCCCAGAAAAGGACTCAGTTGTGCCCTCTCCCGACCAGTAAGGCTCTAAGAATATCTTTAAGAAGAAATTGCTCAGTACAGTTGCTTTGACCTGGTGTAACAGTAGCTGTAACAGATTCAGTAGAGTTCAGCTCTGCCTTTTCTCCAGCAGCCTATGCCATCGTCTTTCCTGCTTTCTGGGTCTCCAGGTTGTACCTGAGTGTTCCTTTTGGTTGAAGCCCAGATTTTTGTAGACCAAGAAATGAAAGTTAAAGCTAGGTGAAACTTTACAGAGACTGAGTTCATTATGGTCCTTGCTGGCCAGGGATCCCAGTGCTTTCCAAGGCAAGGACCATGAAAGAGTATCTTCAGAGCCTGCTGAGATAGGCGGTGAAGGCTGTGTGTACTCACTGCGTTCAGAAGTGTCAAATGCAGAGCTCAGGGCCTCAGGGAACCCCTGGCCAACAGGGATGTTGGCTTAGTCCAGCCCAAGCGGCTTCACCCGGAGGGTGATGGTGTGGAATCGTGTGGAGACTGGGAAGGACTGTGAGTGGTGCCACTCCAGGTAGGGCAAGAACTTACAACTAACCAAGAAGACCGATTGCCTACGGTGAGGGTCGGGAGTGCTTCAAGGATCCTGAATGGGCCACGTCCCTTCCTCCCCCATAGCCACGGGCTTCCTAGCAATCTTCCGGCTTTTGTCTCCTCCACAAGAGACTGACTTCCAGTTGAATCTTCCCAGATGCTGTTTAGAAGGTAGCATTTATCTGCTCTTAGCTGCCTACAAAATATCTGCAGGCCTCTTGCCTTGGCCTTAGAGGCCCACGCATTCATCAGCCTGCCTTCTCCCAGGTGCTCTCTGCAGAGCTCCTCAGCAGGTAAGCTGACCCAGTCCAAGTTCAGGTTCAGGTGTGGCCTCAGAAAGCCTCCCCTGTTCCCGCCTTTGGAAGTGACCCCTTTCCTAGCCCTCCTGGGGCCTCACACTGTTCCTTTGTGGTGTAGTTTCTCAGGGTGGCTTTATATTATCTTCTCAGTGGCATGTTTCTTTCCAACTGAGGTTATCCTTAGTTATCCTTACATTTTTTGTAGCACCTGCTGTGACACCTGGACTGGTAGGCACCCACAAGATATTTCCTGAACAACTTGATCACTAGATGCCCAGCTCTGTGGTGCCCTAAATTGAGGCTGGAGAGGGCCATGTGGAGCTGCCAGCCCTTCGCTGGACCTCGCTGGGGCCTCTTCGGACCTAGACAAGTGCAAAGTGATGTAGGGCTCCTGGGACAGTCAGTGGTCAGCAGAGACCTGGATGTGGAGAGGAGCTCCTGTTTGATGGTTCAGTTTTCTTCTGCGTATGTTCACTCTGCAAGAAAAGAGCAGAAATGGCCTTCATTGGAGTTTTCAGGCCAAGAGGTCATTATCACTTCAGGAGCAGTTCCGGTGAGAGACTGCAGATGGAGAGAGCCTTCTCGGAAAACGGGGGATGAGTGGTGTCAGAACTCTGGGCCCATAGAGAGCAAGCAGGGCAGACTGAGGAGTTGGCGGTGCCCTGCTACCTTGGATGGAGGAGGAAAGCGCTTCATGAGGTGCTTCCTTTAGATGATGCTGATGTCACCCATCTGGCTGAGTAGAGCCCGCCATGGCCTTGAACGGATTTTTGCAGATGGTCTACTTGAAAGGGACCGAAAAGCTTTGTCTCTACAATGTGTTCCATCCCGGCCGTTCCAGTTGTCATTCTGGGGTACCCACTGTGCTCCTGGCTGTCCCTCTGTTGTAGATGACTAGGTTGAGTTGGAGTGCTCAGTGCCTGTATCCTCACCGACGAGCTTAGCTCCTCTGGGATGGGATGTGGGAGGGGACTGGTGCTGACCATGCTGCTGTGTCTGGGAGAGACATGTTACTCTTTCTTTTGAAAAGCCATGGTCCGGCACCTCCTCCAGGGCCTGGCACCTGCCTACCCAAACACTGAGCGGGCGCATGGATATATGTCCCTGTGAACGTGGGTGGCAGTGGGCCCATGGTCATCGGACCCCCCCCCCAAGCCTGTGTCTGTTCTCTCTGCAGCGGGAACCCAGCATTGACCTGCTGCAGGCTTTCGTGGAGCACTGGAAGGGCATCACACATTACTATCTCGAGAGCACAGGTGCGGCCTTCTCCTCCCTAGCCCAGGGTTCCCGGGAGTGAGCTAGGTGGATGACATGGACAGAAAGTTACAGTACAGGGGAAGGTGACATCCATTGCTAGAGTTGGTGCCAAGCTAATGGAGACCAGAAGTGGACAGATGGGAGGAAGACCTGAACCTGGTCACCTCTGCTGTTCTTGGCTTAGTTGGTGGCCATCCCTTACCTTTTGGGTCTGGAGCTATGTGAGGGACATATGGGGACAAAAGATGGGTGATATCTCTGGCCTGACTGTGAGACAGAGGTAGCTCCACTTGCTCCAGCTGGGTGGAGCCTCTGGGTTCTCTTCTCTCAAGTGCTTATGCTCTATTAAAAGAAAAGAAATGCAGCAGTTCGGTGGCCTGCCTTGCAAGTGCAAGGACCGAAGTTCAATCCCCAGTACCAAAAAAAGAAAAAAAATGGAACGGATTCCCCCTTTCCCTGAGCTGTTTAAGGACATTGCTGTTGGAGAGATATGGGGTAGGAGGAGACCAAAAACCAAGGGAAGGAACATGCCTGAGTCCTTCTCTTCAAGCTGGTATCAGAGGCCCAAAGCCTCAGGTCGCCTGGCCCACCGGGGTCACTCACTGAAGGGCACAGCCTGATTGGCTGCTCTGTAGTTAGTATACCTGTATTGGTGGATACAGACTGGTTGCCAGGTAACCAAACCCTGTATTCCTAGCTTTCCATCTCCCTGGAGTTCAGACTGGGTCTGATTCCAGCCTACGTCTTTTCTCAAGGCTTTCTTTTCAGTCTGAATCAGCCCAAGAAATTACAAAGTGCTTTTGGGGCACTCTGGTGACCCTCTGTGAGTTCCATTAGACCTGGTTTACTCTGCATCCTCAGGGCACAGTTGACATTTGGACTGGATCACTGTCACTGTGGGGACAGCTGTAAATCCCTCCAGATGTTCTCTGGAGGGTGAGATTACCAGGGAGCCCCAGTCCACAGGAGAGTAGGACCTGCCTATGTTCACTCCTTCAGTTTCCCGAATAGGCTTCAGACCACAGGCATCTGGACAGCATGAGGCCAGCAGCCTGGCTCAAGAGCCTATGCCTAAAAGGAAAGCTAGAGGGTGCTGCAGGGCAGTCCCAAAGCTTTCTCTCTGGAAACACTGCCCCCCCACAGGCTGGCTCCTCCATGGCCCCAGTGGTGGTGGAGCAGGTGTGTGCATGCCGTGCTCAGATTGTTTTCTGCCTGTGGAAAAACAGTATTGCCTTCTCTGAAGTGCGGCAAAGGGACATAAACAGGCCCCAGGAGATCGCTGCTCAGGAAGCTACTGAAATAATGGCCAATAAATTGTATGACAGATCTCTGAGCCCCAGCTTCTCATTCAGGCCAGAGCAGACAGGCAGCTTTCCAGTCCTGTCCTGTGCACAGCCAGGATATGTCCTTGTCCCAGGGCTTGGGGGAGAACCATGAGGCTGCCCTCTGACACAGGGTTGGGGCAAACAGACATTCTTAGTGAGCAAGGGGGCCACGTCCTGTCCTCACCCAACAGGACTCTTGTCTTCACGTAAGCAGCTGTAAACTTCCATTCCCTGGTCCCAGCCCCTCCCGGTCTCCCAGCGAGACTCCTCCCTTCTGGGCTTGGCCAAAGGGGCTGCCGCTTTGAAGCCTGAGTGTCCTTCTCCGCTCTACTCACCCTCGTGTTCTGAATCTCGGGCAGATGAAAACACCCCAGCCAAGAAGACGGATATTCCCTGGCGGCTGAAGCAGATGCTGGACATCCTGGTGTACGAGGAGCAGCAGCAGATGACCGCCGGCGAGGCCGGGCCCTGTCTGGAATACCTGCTGCAGCACAAGATCCTGGAGACCCTGTGCACGCTGGGCAAGGCTGAGGTGGACATGTCACGCCGGGGCCCTTGGAGCCTTCTACCCCAGACGGGCCCCTGCGTGCCAGTGCCCCAGCTGGCACCGAGTTCTCGATGCCAGGGACGTGGCCATGATAAAAACTGACAAGGATGCTTGTGGGTGATGGGCAGGAAAATTGTGTACAGTTGTTAGCCATGGAAGATTGGTTCCTGTCCCTTCAGATAGGACAATCATGGACGCACAAGCCTCGTAGCAAATGGTTCAAGGTTGCTAGAACAAGTGTCCATGAATGCCACAAGGTGCTGTGTTTGCATATAACCCACATGCATCCTCCTGTACCTTTACGTGGCCTCCAGCTGCCTTAGGGTACCTAATACAAGTGCTATGGGAGTGGCTGTGGTGCAGCATTGGTTAGGAAATAGTGACAAGAAAAAAGGCTGTACATGTTTAGTGCAGATGTGACTTTTTTTAAACAGTTTTGATCTAAGGATGGTTAAATCCATGGGTGTAGAACCTGTGGGTGTGGAGGGCTAGGTGTCATGTTCAGTGATGACCCAGTTACATGGAGAAAACTAAGGCGGGACAGAGGGCTGGGAGCATGGGGAAGGCCCGCTTGAGGCGTTATGGCAAGGGAAGGAAACCTCCGTGGGAAGGTAGCCCCATGGCGGGGATCCCTGTGCCCTTGGGGAGGGTTTGGGCAGGTGGACGTGGCCCCCTCTGACAGGCACCCTGTTCCGACCCAGTACCCCCCAGGCATGCGGCAGCAGGTGTTCCAGTTCTTCAGCAAAGTCCTGTCTCAGGTGCAGCACCCACTGCTGCACTACCTCAGCGTCCACAGGCCCGTGCAGGTGAGGCCCGTTGCTGATGGCAGCTGGGCACGCATCCCCTTCCCTACCTTCCCATTCCCGATTCAACCCTGTTCCCCTCCTAGAAACTTCTCCGGCTTGGTGGGGTGGTCCCTGGGTCCCTCACAGAAAAGGAGGAGGTACAGTTCACCAGTGTCCTCTGCTCCAAGATCCAGCAGGACCCAGAGCTGCTCACCTACATCCTGGAGGTAAGGACCCTGTGGGCAGTGGGCAGGGGAGGTGGGGACCCAGGGGCTCCCCTGGCCTCCAAGGAAGCAGGAGGAGAGGGCACTCGGGGGGTGTTTGGGCAGTTTCCCTGCAGATCCAGCTGAGGCCTTGCCTGCTGCCCACCTGTGCTCCTTTTTCTCAGTACTGCAGATTGAACACAGGGCCTTTGTACTAAATTAAATCTCTTAATGCTCCTTTTTTTTTTTTTTTTTT